TATTATATAGATATACTAATTATATTTAATTTTAAGTGTATATCAAACTGTCAAATAACATTCGTTACTGAAAATATCACAGATTTATCAATTTCTTTTTTTGAAGATCTATACTAATTAAATAAAGCTAACCTGAGCTTCATAAAAGAGGATAACAAGAATAAGAAACGTAGTAAAATTACAATCGCTTAAGAAACTGAAGTACCTTTATCATTAACTTAAAAACTGCTTAAAATTTCTGTGATGTAGTTATTTGGCAGTGTATTTGGCTAAAAAAGAGCATTTTATTGAAAAAATGAAAAACAACTTTTCAGTCCTTTATATAGCGCAGAACTTTTTTAACTTTACATACTGAAAAAAGAATAAATAGATGTTATATGTGTAAAAAGGCATTTTTTACGTCAGTTTATATAAAAAAAAAATTAAAATACTCGGTTTTAAGCCAAATAGAAAAATAATTACATTATGAGGTAAAATCACTTGTATTTTTTTTTTCGGTGTCTAAAAAAATGCTTCAGTCGAAATTTAAAATAAACTTGGTATACTACACACTCGTTTCAGATCTCGGTTTCCCTGTTATCGAATGCAATTCTTCTTCTAAAGGAACTTGCTCGTCTACAAAATTTATACTGCCTGCTTTATACCAAACTATGATATCCACAAAAAACGCGCAAAGTAAAATTGCACCTGTTATTCCTATAAACAAAAAATTAACAGCAATAAAAACCAGTTACATGGCTCTGATCCATCATATGTACTCTAATAAGAGCTGCGCACAAGATTGCAATGACATCCGAAACAAGACCGGTCTAAAACAAATTTGACGCCCTAGGAGGGGGCGGCTTCTTCACTCGCCCCCCTAAACACGGTTCTGATCCGAAATTGACAAAGTTGGGATAACATGGAACAGGGGGGTAAACACGAAGATAAAAGTGCTCCATTTGTCTTTTTTTTAATTAGTTATCGAGATATTACCCACAAACGTAGTTTTGGGTTTTCGAAAGGATGACATACTAGTTAGAACATAAAGTATAGCGGACAGGGGGATCGGTTGAGTGGATAGAATTTTTTTTGGATTTGGAATATTTCGGAAAAAGTTTTAGACTTTTTATTGTACGCTTTCAAAGGGGAAATCAATTGGTAGCATTAAATAAGAGATTTGCTTTGACCGTCAATGCTAAGTCATTTCTTTTATGGGAATGTATATTTTTACCCTCATCAATGGAAAAAGCGGAAAGTTCGATTATTGGAAATAGATTTTTGTAAATTTTTGAGTTCGATCTCGACGATCTAATGTAAAAGAAAAGTAGAACAATTTCGAAAATGTTATCACAATATTTGTCCATATTTCGGGTGACACTGAAATCTCGTGCCCAGCTCTCCAACTGTACGTAACTATTTTATACGGGGTGTATGATGTACGATTTACCTACCGTGATAGAACATTCGGAAGACGTTGGCATCATAAAGTCCACAAGCTCCTTTTTCACCACAAGCCATTTTCCACACCAGACAAGCCGAATCAACAACGGCACCGTAGATTATAGGGCATGGTACATTACCAAATAATCCTATAGCAAACTGTATCAGTCCTAATGCCATAGCTTTATCTCTAGGATCAACACATCGAAGAATCAATAACATCGAACCTACTTCTGAAGTTGAATGGATAAAAACGAAAATCGAGAAGAGAATTATATACCAAATGAAACTAGAACATTGAACGTTACAATAACCAATAGTTGCCATTCCAAATTGTGGCGATTTTCCGATTGTGGCATTCGAAGGGCGATGACTTCCTAAACACTGGCATTCGGAAAATTCGACTATTTTATTATCTATTTCTGTATAATTTTGGCAACCGGCATGGCAAGCTGAAAAATAAGTTCTGCCATCTCCCCCACAAACTGGGGCAAATTTATTTCTACTGCATTCGCACGTCGTATTACAAATCGGCTCTATCACCGCCATGCTAAAATTAAATGGATTCGATTAAAAAAATCAATTTCCGTTCCTCTTATTTAAAAAAACCCCTCACCCGTCGTCAAGTTTTCGAAGTCCGATTACTTCGTTCATAGGACAGCCAATGAACATCAAAATTCCCATCCCTGTAACAACCGTTTTTAACTTTTCAATAACTTTTTCTTTTCATTATAATTTATTACCAATGGCATACAGAACGGCAGTAAACGCTATCCAAGCTGCGACAAATCTAGCATTTGGTTTCACTCTCAAAATAAACACACCGCTAATTATTATCCCAAGACCCATAACCAAAATTCCTCCAACGCCTAAAAAGTTAGTTTCCTACCTCAAGAACTGGCGCATAAGAAACACTTTCCATTGCGGTAATGGATAAGAAAATTTAGCAGCAAGGAAGTGTATACACGACGTCCCAAAATTGAGCCTCACCAGTAATTCTTTTTTCGGGTTTCATAATGCAAATGGAACCCTTATTTCTCGCGTCCATCCATCTGAATTATTCGTTAAAATTCATAACAAGTAAATATTTTACCGAAATGGAATTTTTAATGGCAAAGATCGAGTTTGGGATTAATTAGGTAGTTATTAAAAATTAAATTAAATTAAAAATATACCAGAAATCATATTCGCCGAAGGTGTTGGCAATCGAAATTGTGACTCTAGATATTTCGGCAAAAAAGTGTACAATCCTGCGATTGGAAGTATATGTAATACGCTGCTGGCTGTTCGGAACATTAGAATATCGTTTTTCAGAAGCCTTTTCACAGTTTTTGGAAAATCTGAAAAACGCGTTCTATAACCCCTGTCATCGCTTAACAAGTATTGTAATATTTTACCTCTTATACTAGGATGCTTTGCATCTGATTTTTGAATTCTAGGAGCAGATCGCACATTCGACGACAATCTTTTAGGAAATGCAAACATTGCCAATGAGGCTAGCATTAGGAAACCAGCAATTAAAACTAAACCTGCGAAAAAGAAATAAAAAAAATTGCCTTATATTAAAAAAATGCAGCATAGGTATGTCTTTTAAAATCCTTTACATTATATAAAGTTAACAAATGCGTATTTTCTCATGCTATTATTGTTTTAAACAAGCATTTAAGAAATAACAAAGGTACAGTATTACTGCTTCGTATTCCTGTTGAATAATTAATTATACTTGATTACCTACAATTATAAATATTCTACAAGGTCTGTTTTTATAGATAAATAAATTAATTACGATTTGAGACCGGTTTAAACAAGTAATTGCGAAGTAATATTGAACCAACATATGAATGCACAATATCGCACAAAAGAACTTTGAATTTAAGGTCGAAAAAAATATATTGTGTAGATATATAATGGGCACATACATATATATATATACAATATAAGTTTTAAAGAAAGTTCAAAGTTGTTTCTTCGAGACAACCATTTTATTAAGATGTTTATAGAGTAATTATATCTGTCATACTCATAAATCTTATTTGAGCTTCCTTTCGTATTTTTGTTTTCTATTATTAATGTCCCGCACTTTTTCCATTACGATAAGCTATAAAAGATGATTGAACATGTGGTGTCTACTGTCTATTATAGTAGTTAATGTGAATGTGGTATGGAAGGCTAGAGGGAATAATAATAATAATATAAATTGAAGAAGTAACTCTAATTGAGATTAATTACTTTTTTTATAAACTAAATATATTTGTACTTCGCGTAACAGGGTTAAGAAACTATCATCTTAATTTATAATTGCACTATAAAATAATATTACACTTTCTGATTGTGTTGCATCACAAGAATTCTATTGCATGACAGGAAAACTTTTATTCAATTAAATCCTTTTAAAATTCACATAAATTTTTACAGTACGAATTATTGGTTTCTTTTTCATAATACATATTATCTATTGTATATACATACGTATAAATAATTATAGACTGTATGCTTAACAAACGCATCATTATCTATAGTTTACTGCGTATGTTGAAGCAGTTTTTTTAGTTATTCGTATGACCTAAATAGATTAGCATTGTAATTCTTAACGAAAGAGGACTGTAAAGATATACCTACAGTATATATATTTTTATGTATTTACTTGTTTAAAAACTGCTCAGTCTCGAAACAATTATTTCCAAGCAGAACGTACAAGAGATGTAAACAGATACATAAATATCTCGGAAGTTGTAGATCAAAAAAATTTTTTTAAAAGCTTCCATAGTCAAAACTATAACGTACGTCCCAGTCTAAAATCGTGTCACTGTTTTGCTTTTAAAAAGCCAAATGCAAATTAGTGCACTGTGCGATAGACTTCTGGATAGACTAGGTCGTGACAACTTTTTACAATACACTTACTTGTTATGTTAATTTTAAAACTTGTGGGTATCCCTGAGAGTTGTAACGAAAGGTTAAAAATTGGAAACAAAATTAAAATATGTACTAGACATTAAAAACATTATTATGTATTAATACGTGTAACAAAAAAAAATTGTTCGATCAGACTTTGTTGTAGACAAATCTGCAATAATTACTATAGTAATAAGTGTATTTAAAATTAGACACATGTATGCATGATTTATATTTAACTGCCTCAGACACCCATTACATGGTTCTACACACTGTATGTATAAACATGAAATTATGTATACATGGATGACCTCATTGCCATTACATAATTATAATAACGCACTTTTTATGTAAATATATTCATTCTTGCGTTGTTTCGTAAATCAAAAGGCTTATCTTTTGCCAATAAAATAGAACAGATGAGTTCAAAATCGATTGTCATTGTTTTAGTGTCAAAATGACGACGGATAAACGATTGCCTCGAGTGATTTTAGGGAACCTTTTATATTAAATAAGCACACATTATAGGCACATATTAGGTCATTTATTACCTTTCAATTATGTAAGTAAATGGATATAAAACAGACTTACCCAACCACCATGCGCCGACCCATCTAGGGTCAGTTGTGGCTATTTTTGGGTCGATTGATAAGTCAGCGTAAATGCTCGTGCAAAACGATCCCACTATGAAGCCTAATGCGGGACCCAATATTCTCACTCCTATTGTTATGGCTGTAAAGAAGAGGTATCTTCAGAACGTGTGTTCGTTGAGTTTGAGCGCACATCACATGAAGGATTAATTGCTCTTACCAAAATAGAGTGGCGATTCCTTGCTGGCTACATTGTCGTCGATATAAGGAATTCCGAGGGTGTAAACGGCAGTCTGACCCATCCCTACCCCTAATAGGCTTATGAAGAAGATAGCTAAAACTATTTTGGTGACCGAAGGCTGTATTCTGTGCCCTGAGATAAGTTCTTCTTCGCAAGTTTGAAATATATGGGAGACTTTTGGCATGGAGTTTGAGGTAGAATTTAACCAGAGATCGTAAGAATCGGTGGGCGGCGAGGAAGGTGGTGAAGTACAAACGTTTGGCTGCTTAGCAATGCCCAAAAGATCATTCGCATTAATCAATTGTCTCCCATAAATGAAATGTGGCAAGGAACACGTAAATGACGAAACGGCGAACAAAACCATACCCCAAGCTATCCATTTAGGCCTGTGTCCTTGTCCGCCGTAATAAGTGAGCAGTAAAGATGAACCGATCTGCCCTATCTCCGTCGCACTCATTATAATACCCGTAATTTTCGATTGAATTTGAAACAACTTTTCGATCGTAGTGATTACGCTTACGAAATACGTATGATACATGCCTTGCAAGACCCACGTTATACAAAATACAATTAAAAACATTTGTTTTGACGCGAACATTTGTAACCAATGGGGGGCGCAAGGCCCTAGGCCGCATTCTGCCTCACTATCTTTCGAAAAGTCCGTATCTATCGAAGGTGACCGCATACACGGCGATTTCGCGGTCACCGAAGGAACGGTCAACGCGCGAGTTTCGTCCGGAACGTCATCTTCAAGTCGTGTTTCGACGCCAAGCGTCGAACAACCGTTATTGTTACTGCCCGGCCCGTCAGAACAGTTATTATTTTTATTGTTGCTATTTGTACCGGCATTCCACATGCTTGTGCCGTTTGTCGTTGACTCCCGAGAGTTGTGCGAATTTGTTTCTAACATGATAGCAAACTGAATGGTAAACCGATTTCCAACCGATTCTCATCCCTGAAATAAAAAGAAACCATGTTTATTATCAATGCAACCAAGATTTTGTTAAAGCGTAGAGAAAATACAAATGTGGCCAGTGGGCATGTTTTAAACACCTTTTAAAGTGTTTTAAACAGTGTTTAAAACAAAAAAAGAAACAGTACATATTAAACATTCTAAATACTAATTCTCTAAAAACTAAAATAAGGAAAACATTTCACTGAGTTGGCATGTTTAAAACAGTGTTTGAAACACGTATTTTCAACACTGTCGCGGTGACGTCAAGACGTCACGATAAAAAAAGTTTAAAACATGCGTTTAGAATAAACTCGTAAAAAACTGTATGACACATACACATACATACACATATGAACACATGTTTAAAACGTTTTGAAGTGTTTGTTTCACAAATTTAAAATTTAATAAAAAACTTTTTTTCCCAACCCTGCGAGCTGCCACTTCAAATTTAATTATCTACTTACGCAAATATTATAATAAATAACTTTTTTTTGTAAATATGTATATAAATGTTCCCACTCACGATAAACGAAAAAAATATTTGCTTGTACATACACATAAAAAAATAGCGTACTAATTATAATTATAGTATCGAAGGTAATTAATGGCTATGATATAACAAATGAATACTATGGAATGTTAATACCTAATAACATTAAGTATGTAAATAATTCAATAATATTAGTTATGTAGATAAAACGAATGCTATTACTGAACTACTTTTAAAAATTGCTCAAATTTTTACCGATTTTTTTATATTTTAATGCCTATAACAATATTGCTATGACATGACAAAACATTAATCAATCGACCAGGTATTAGTTATATCTGGTAAAAGCGAATATAGCAGAAACGAACGTATGCCAAACAATGTTAAAGCGGATCTTGGTAGCAACCTTCATATCGAATTAAAAAATGACGTCAGCGATTTCCAAATATTTCTGCATCATGCATTTATTGTGACTACAATTTGTTTGTTTTTACTGCACTTATCGTAAATACAAAAGCCGTTGTGGTAGGTCGATAAAATAACTAAGTAACTGCCACATTACACTGATCGTGAATTAACGTTTGAACACAATTATCACCACAACGGTATTTTTACAACTAACATTTTAACTTGCAGTGAACTTGAACTTGAGAGTTTATCATGAAAGATAAAAAACTGTCATTGTATAGTCAGAATTACTGTAGTTTCCATAAGCTGTGATATATTTATTGGTTACGCGATAAGAAAAATTAACAAATGAAACCATTTTGATGTACGCACGTTTTTAAATTATATAAATTTTATAATATAACTGAAATGCTGAAAATGTTCTAAGTTAATATTATTTTATTAAACTGAAAACTGCATAGTGTGGAACATTAGCCGTATACATTTAAAATTCTTTACCTACGCTTTCGGCCCAGGTAACTAAAAAACTTTCTGAAAAGAATTTCAACGACACAAATTTTAAAAGATAAGGACATAAAGGGGTATATTTTATGATGTCACGCAGGTAAAAAGAACCGGAATTCATTCAAACATGTATATGTATATTAATAATTTAACTTTACATCGCATTATCCACATAAGAAAAGTAAATAAGATATCTGGAAATTTAAATACGAGTATATACCTAAAAGACTGGAATATACCGGGTACATCTTATTTAACCTATTAGTACTTATAAATAGTCCGACCAACATTAACTGAACATGAGAATTTTATTTTACTTCATAAATCTTCACTTTATTTTATTAAGTTTACAATAAGCCGATGGGACGTACACCTGCCGACTGAGAACTATACTTATTAGTTCCTTGCTTTCAAACTAAAATACACATGTATATGTATATTGTACACGTAAATGTTTCAGTCTTTTTTAAACTTAGTATAAATGTCTGTACATACAACATTCAATATATCATAATTTAGCATGGTGTACTTAAGAAATAATTTATATCAATTAAATGAAGAACTATAAAATTGTCAGTTAATTTTATATGGACTATATAATAGTATGTTGTAAGTATTTTTGATAATGTTTAAAGTTTTTCATATATTTACAATTCTTATCTACAGTTTTGACTATTTCTAATCAAATATAGCATTCATCCCTTATATTTTGCCTTTATCAGAAGAGAATGACCTTTCCGATTACATCAATGAATACTACGACTACTTTAGTGTATTGTATTACGATAGTCAATGAAAACGTAAGGTTCATTCACAAAACACAACACTACATTGTGCTTTGCTATGCCGCCTGGAGGGGAACTTGACAATTAAGGTAAATATAACCTAAAAATTGCAGCCCGTGCCAAATTTGTGCGTAACAAACATTTTTAAGTATAAAATATAGTTAAAGACAGTAATTAGTTATGTTATTAAATTTTTAAGTAAGTGATATGTATTCTACCATTTACAAGTAAAAGTGCTCTAACGTTGCGTGGAAACTGCAAAAATAAACTTCGTCGAAAGGTAGGATGTAAAAAGCTTATTGTATTTTTATGTTTTTATTTCTGATTAGTAAACACAAAATCTATATGCTTACTTAAGGAACATTAATATAGGTACATACTTTCGTTTTTTAACAGTTTCACTTGTTTGAATTTGTTGACAAATACCTAATTTTGCTTTTCTCTTTTTTTTATATACCACCTAGGTATATTTACCAAAGACAATTTCACGGTACAAGGTTATATTTTACAATATTCAATTTTATATCACAGTAAGTGCCTAAAATTGGGACCGTATAACTAATTTATTATAATTTGGTATTGTTTCTATGTCGAAACCGCTATTTTTTGTGCAGTAAGTTTCTTAATCAGTGAAATATACGGTGCCTTACATCCAGCAAACACATGGGTAGATCTTTAATTTCTATAAAAGCGAAAATTGCGTTTTTTTATTCGATTAAATAAATTTGGGAAATGGTTTTTCAAATAATGGCAATTAAATAATTATATTTGTTTAATTCTCACGTGTTGAGAATTGACATAGAATTTCGAAAATAGAAAATTTGAAAGTCGATTTCAGTCTATTTAAAAATTCATTGCACGTATCCAGTTGATCTATAGAGGGGCATTTTATTTGAGCTTATTGAGAGCAACCATTAAAATGCGACTCTGTTAATTTGTTAAATAAATCGAAACACTTGCAATTTCACTTGGTGCAACAGTAATAATTATGGAGTAGCAGTTCACTTGCGTGACATGCAGCTGCGTGCAAGTGTGTAAATATGTATTATATTGTATATGTACGAAAGGGTCAGAAAATAAATACGCTGTAACATACGTATTTATATTGTCTAATGATTTTCATTATGTATTCGCTTTTAAACGATCTTGAGATACGACACCATTTTCAGTTTAGAATGAGGTCAAAGTGAAAAATTTTCCACTCAAACCAATTGAAATGATTATTTAGACTCATGATGAAACAAGGGCAAAACTGGCACTAAACGTGGTCTATTAAAAATGAGACTACAATTAGACTTATTAAGAGATTCTTTCTAAACAAATTACGAAAGATAACACTTGAAACGTAAAAAAAGGAAAATCAATTTAAACCGCAGAATTGACAATAATGAACATTAATTTATTTACATGATGGCATTTCATAACTTTAACGAATAATAAAACTCGTAATTTTCATGAAACACTCCACTTGAAAAAGTTACTGTCTTACCGAAACAATTGTAGTGGTAGAAATAAAAGATTGTGAAAATGACGAGCTTAATTATTGTTTATAAAGTTAAGAATTTATTACTTCAAATCACATAGGTAACACTGTACCTACAAATCAGGTACTAATTTTTGTAAATACAAAACATTTTAGAACACCAACATGTCTTTTTAGATTGTATCAATTTATTTTTAAAAAAATTGCCCTCGTACAACAAACACGGTACGTGTTGTGATTTTAAGAATAGAAGAGGACTTTTGAGAATGTATAAATACATTAGTAGGTAGTACGTACATGCATATACATGTACAGAACACAGATACATTACCTGCTGCACATATGTATTATGACAAGACAACGTGAGTGTCAATACAATATTGAAAGTACCGGTTTTATACCTGTATAGGTACTAAAACAATATAGGTACTGTAAATTTTACTAAATTTTGCAGTAAATAGAGTTTGGTACCTATGTGCTAGGTTTTAACAATGATGCAATAACGATTGGTAAATGCTGATTTTGGCAATAAAACAATGTAATAAGCTCAGAAATTATTTATTAAGCATTACAATTATGAGTTAAGTATTTTATTAATTGTCATTTACTAATAGGGAATAAAATGATTTTACTTGTTACGACACGGTATTTATAGGGTTGTTCGGAAAGTCATTTCGTTTTTTTTTTGTGGAAATGAAAGACAGTTTTCGTATAATAAACAAATACTTTATTAAATTATATATTGACCGTTCTGGTCCAACACCTTTTGCCATCTTTCTGGTAGTAGCATAATTCCACGCTCATAAAATTTTTGGTCTTTGCTGGCAAAAAACTGATCGAGGAGGTTTTTGACCTCCTCATTTGAGGTGAAGGTTTTACCGTCTAAAAAATTTTGGAGTGACCGGAACAAATAATAATCCGATGGTGCCAGGTCTGGAGAATATGGTGGGTGTAGCATTGTATCCCATTCAAGCTGTAAAAGCTTTTGGCGAGTGACCAAACTTGTGTGAGGTCTCGCGTTGTCTTGGTGAAACACTACACCTTTCCTGTTGATTAGTTCTGACCTTTTCTGTTGAAGTGCATCATTCAGTTTGTCCAGCTGATGACAGTAGACTTCCGAATTAATCGTTGTGTTATCCGGTAAAAGCTCAAAAAAAACGATTCCTTTAAAATCCCACCAAACAGACAGCATCACCTTTTTTTGGTGAATATCGGCTTTGGAAATGGTTTGAGCCGGTTCATCTTTTTTGCTCCATGACCTCTTGCGTTTGACGTTGTTGTATACAACCCATTTTTCGTCCCCAGTGATGATGCGCTTCAAAAACGGATCATTTTCGTGACGTTTGAGAAGCGAATCGCAGACGTCAATGCGGCGACACAGATTTCTCTCTGTGAGAACATGGGGAACCCATACATCGAGCTTCGAGGATAATCCCAGGCCTTTCAAGTGGTCATAAACTGTTGAATTTGATAAATTTAACCTCAATCCGATCTCACGTGTTGTTATTCGCCGGTTCACATCAACTAATGCCTTTATCGCGTCTTTATCAGCTTCAACCGGCCTTCCCGAACGTGGTGCATCTTCGACATCAAAATTGCCGGATCGAAATTTAGCGAACCAGTTCTGGCACTGGCGTACTGTCAACACACCTTCTCCATACACATCAGTCAATTTCTTTCTGGCTTGAACAGCATTTTTACCCTTTCTGTAGTAAAACAGTAAGATATGTCGAAAATGCTGCTTATCGCTCTCCATATTTAAAAGGGCACCAACCAAAAAATTCTGCGTAGAATTAATCGGAATTTTTCACACACAAGCCTTGTTATATGAGCTCTCAAAGCATATAAAAATTATACGGCTTAAATGTGAAGTTGGGTGCAAAAGAATACAATTAAACCCTCTGTCGGGAAAGAACGAAATGACTTTCCGAACAACCCGATAAAATAACACAGCAATCCTAATGATTTACAAGCGCACTTCTTCTGTCAGGGTGGATAATTGGAGGATGATAAAAAACTACTTGAAGAGATTACGCAATCTCGTTATTTCCATCTGATTTTCCCCATTAGGGCTATTATCTCAAATAGAGACCCGGAGACATAATCCGGTAGCCGGCCGGATCCTCCAAAAGCGCCCGATCCACCGGGTACTGAATCTAAAGCAGGTACCCGGTTCACCTCTAATCTCAAATGTAATCTTATACGAATGACAAACTAATAGCAACAATTTTTTAATTAAATAAAATTCGTGGATACGATTTTCGATATAAAAATCCTATTGCGATTGTTTCTCTGAATGATTGTATATTTACCTAATGTAAATCGTCTGGACCATGCTTGGTTGGTATCATATTAGCAACCAAAGGATGTAATATTCTGAATTTCAAATTTTTATAATTAAATAAACATGATGTCATTTAAATACTTCGGTTTAGACTATTGAGATTCATTAAAGTCGGTAAATATGCTAACAACAACTCATCAATTTCACTTTGAAATCTTTCTAGACTTTTTTTTTCTCAGAATACCTGCGTAAAAGTGAGAAGAATTAATAGTTAAACATTATATCGAAAGAATGATTCTATAATTCATAAGTATTCTGTTAGTTAAAAAAGAATTATTTATAATTCTACATACATAGGTGAACATTTTAAAACGTTCTTACAAAGCAAATAATTTCATCATACAAAATTTTTACATAAATAGTCTGTACCTATACAGATAAGGTAAAATGTTTTTCGAGTGTAGAATATGTTTTTTCAACTACATCTATCTGTCAGTTTTCAAATTTGAACGCGCGAAAATTCATTATTTATAGTGGTTCAAGTTAGTTTTAATTGGTACTATATAAAAGCCCGACAGAGTATCGTGAGACGTAAGATGACATGTGTTTTGACGAAAATATGTTTTTGAAGCAGAGGCAGATCTACAAGTGGCCCAGTACTCCAGTTATGCATTTCTTGTAAAAATTGAAAAGTAATAATTTTGTAATTTGTTTTTAATTTTATTTTTTTTTTTTAAAGAGGCTCTAAAAAGACATGTATATCGGGTTCACAATGTCCAAGATCCGCCACTGAATCACATCAAAAAATAGTTTTAATTTTAAAATAATGATAAAGTCATTTGTAAGGAGGAAATTTTAGTTTCAAAACTGGAATTCCCTTAAACTTAAAATGAGTTGAATCTATTTGCTTTGTTAAAGTATTAAATTTTATCTTTATATTGTCGAGTTTGTAGACGGGTGACTAAAAATTGGAACACTTTATCAGGTAACATGTTTTAGTATACAATTACAAAATTGCGATAAAAATGTTACAATCAAGAGTGAAAGGCAAAAACGCCGATCAATGTAGACTTACATTAATGTAGAATGTTTGTAAGTCTATATATGATGTCCGAAGCGCAAAAAAAGAACTTTTTAATCTTTAAAATTAGTAGGTAACAATCAATAAGTTGAAAATTTTTAAGGGTACATAAGAAATATAATGCACATTATAATTTTATGTCACAAAAGTACTTATAGATATAAAAAAGTGCAATAAACCAAAACGAGGGCACTATTAATAGATAGATACGTAAGTGTATTTTGGTTTCCATTTTCTATATAAACATTTTTACTCTTTGAAGAACTTTGTAAATAAAACTTGTTCGTTATCTTTTAAAGACCTTTAATGTAAAAGTTTTTTCATTTATTATACTTGCATCTATATATTTTTAATTACACCAAATTCTTCGAACTACAGCGACTATTAAATGGTTTAATTGAAATTAATTAAATGGGTGAAAACAGTACTAATAAAAATTGTCACTTTTTTATTTTTTTTACCGCATGGTAGTAAATGGCCTACTATATGTGTTACGTATCAAACCTATCGGAAGAAAGTAAACAAAACGACTTAACTATAAAATTGAAATTTGGGTCAAATGTACATATGTGTCTGCGCTTATACATGTATACGTATAAATGTTCATACGTCACATTACGATGTGCCCAAATAATCCAAAACGTTTAAAACAGGTTTTAAGATTTTCATTTAACGAACGGCAAATCCTGTTCCTCTAAATTCATGCCAAATAAACGCGATTTTGTGCAAAAACGAAGCTATATCAGAGCCACGTGAAAGTGTACCTTTTTTTAAAACTCTCTTTTTGATTTTAACATGAACATCATGAAGCGAAACCATTTCTCTACAATGATAGGAATTCTGAAACTTTAGCGCTTTAGGAAAAGATTAAAACTGTTTCCAACTTTTATAAAATAATCACAAAAAGCTTAATGGGTTTGTAGAAACTCTTGAAGTCACATATTTCTATCAAAGGATAAGGAACTTGTTTCATTTGTCGTTATTTAATAAAATTGCTACAAATAAAAACTTTATTGAATGTAAAATTCTGCTTCCGTTTTAACAAATACGTAAGTGTAGATATCGGAAAATTTGTATGAGTTATGCTTTGTAACATGTTAATACTATGAACAAATAAATGACAAGTTACGTTTATTAGCTCTATTTTAATAATTAACTATTTATACTTTTATATTATATTTTGCGGCATACCCACATGACATTTTAAAAATGTTCGAATTGCTTCAAATTTTCTTCTGGAACTTACAAAACTTAAATAAAGTCTATTAAAGTGGTGGCAGGTATTAAGGGATGTTTTAAACAAATTCCTATTCTGATGCTCTTGCATCAGAAGGATAACAGGAGCGTGTGCGATGTCATGTAGAGCGAAAGTACTAGTGAAGCCGGCTGACCGTGAAAGTATTAGACAAATCTACCGTATCGTTAGTCAGAGAAAGTGAAAAACGCATTGTTCGTTTTCACAGGTGGAAAGCGAAATAGAAGTTATCTCACCTGAACTAACAGACAGCTTTAACAGCAGCGCAAAGTTCTTTTCACACATTAAACATTAGTCACGTATAAAAATCATCATCGGTCACCACTATTCACTAGAAAATGCAACACAGCCTAGGCAACAAACAGAAGAATGGAGCAAAACACAACGAAGGAATACTTGTTTTTTTTTTTTTTTTTTTAATATGCATACATACATATATATATATGTCTGTGTTGGTGTACTATACGTAAAGAGTGTGACGAGAATGAAGAAACGAAACAGAAAAATGGGCAGACGGAGACTGCTCTACGATCGAACGCTTTCTCCGTCCAACTGTTATAGCCAAGAGTTTAGTTGAACGAAAGGCTAAAGTTAGCGAAGTAGTGCAAGTCCGACCCGACTACGAACCAACCATGTACGAGCAAGTGAGGTAAACGAACAAGCAGCCAAGCCAGCGAGATTGCTTCGCAGCCCGATTAGCATAACCGAATGCTACGACTCCGATTTGACCTGGTACGAAAGGATGTAGGTTATCTTTCGCCTTTGTTCTTCATTCCACCAAGTCTCATCATGTTAGTCCAATTCACTACCACCTTCACGACAAGGCAACAACACCGTCGTCCCTCGTCCCCCAATTTTTTTTTGCAACATCATTATACTTTTCAATATTTTTTAACTTGCCAAAATCTAATATACAGTCGAACCATCAGTGGCGTATTTGGGATGGCAAAGGGCATTATTTTGTTGTATACTTTTGCTTCATGTTTACTTATATGATACACGATCAGGCAGATTACAAATGGGCACTCTTTTGAGTTGTATGTAAATAATATACCTATCTACAAATGGACTGGCTATTAATTAAAATAATTAACCCCCCTCCCTTACACGTGAAACTCTCCATAATCTCCAGAGCTCCGGCACCCCTTGTTTAAAATTACCCCCATGAATCAACCTTCTGCAACTCCATTTAGAAATTCCAGTTAGGGAACCTACTGTATAAAAATTTTCGAATTAGGAAGACAAAATAACGACCTTTTCACTTTCAACGAAATTGTTAAGTTAGTAATAATCTAATAACACGCTACGCCCAAAAGACTTCGTACATTGTTTAATATAAGTAATTTTATTAAATTAAATTTCATTCGTACTTTGCTTTCAGCTTTTTAAAAACTGTCAAAAAAGATGAAAATTTATGATATGTGTAAAAGTGAAAGATAACAAGTTGTCACGCTTACCCTACAAAGCGACTTTTATTGAAGATTTTTATTTACTTTTATACGACAAAAAATAATTTTTATCTAATTAGATACATTAACAGGAACTGTGCAAATACAGATTTATTCCAGACGGTCGTTGTCTGTTCGTACGTCGCTATTCACAAATGTTAAACAGGTTTAAATTTTTTAATAGAATCACTTTCGTGAAGGCTCACGATCAGTGATCATGATGACCCAGAGTTTTAGGCAGTTTAATGATTGGGCCAGACAGTTGTGCAACTAAAGCTATTTCTGACGAATCTAAAAATGAATCATAATTCGACTTCTTTAACTTATTGTTAAATAGTTAAATAGTTCTAAACCAGTCTCGTATTTAAATACAATTTTAATTGTTTAGAAAAAAATACTTTTTTGCAAACAGTGCATGTACAAATATGTAGGTACTATAAATATAAATAGTGAGAAATAATAGATATTGTACTTAATGTACACTTTATTTTGCGACATTTTCAAAATGAATTTTCAGTTTTATTTGTCTACTTGAAAATAATTGGTAAAACGCGTTGTCACGAATTTTTTGTATGTTTTTATTCCATCAACCGACGTCAAAGGTAACATGACTTACATAATATGCATATAAGTTTCTACCTTTCCTTAGCCATGATGTTTTGGAATTTCCTAAATTAGAGATCATGTTTTTAGTCTGGTGAACGACTTCAAAGAGGTTAACAGAACGTTAAAATCTATTTTAGAAAGTAGAAATTATTTTTTTAAGTCTACCTTCGTAAGAACGATTCCTCCGGTGAATTATCTTACAATTAGTAAACCGTACACTGTAAGCACCTTAATTGGAATTTTAATTACATTTATTATTAAATAACTAATGTAATAATTTATTAACAAAACACGTGTTAATGAAAGTTATTTGTCAATTAAAAATTATATATGTATATATTTACTCCTTTAATAAAGCAGACACGTGGATTTAAAATGTATTCTTTTTAAATTCCAGCGCGACTGGTTTAAATTGTACGTTAACTATTTGTAGGTTGAAAAACGAGAGTTGATTGTTTAGAGTATTAAATAGAAAAAGTAGAAACGAAAGTCGATTATGTATATGTATAAGTATTAGTATCTACTATTTGATCGCTTTAAAAAACAGAATATAGGTAGTCTTTTTATGATGAAGTCAGTTACATCTGTAGTTCCCCGAATCGTTGGAAAATGAACGCCTACAACCGTTGTTCTCGTCCCACATATATGCAAAACTAAAACTAAAATTGCCTTTTCACTATTATGCGAATTAAACTATCATTTTGAGCCATCTACCAAATTGCTCTACAGAGAATTACATTTTACTAACATCAAATATCCACGATATACTACTATCTACGTATGTTCACCAAGTCCAAATAAAAACCAAAACACTAATTTATTATTCCTTCCAATTTTTTTTAAAAAAGCTTATTATTTTTCAATTTAATTTATTTGCGTGAAAAATTTATAAAACAATGAAAAACTGTAGTTAGAACTGTTACTTTTAATTGTATCAAATTACTAACAAACAAGAAATGTGAAAGTTCTTTAGGGCTTACACTAGTTATAATACCTTCACATGATATTGTATATGTATAAAGTTTGTTTTCTTTGTAATTTTACATATCAATATCACTTAGCATATTGTTGGTGGTAACAAAGGTTAATAGAGCTTAACATGAATTTAACCTATTCACATATCGTCCTTGAGAAGCGGTCTATGTGTGGCCTTGACCGTGAATCGGCCTTTATTTATTAATCAAGGGTACACAATCCTATTAGATTTTTCGCGGTAAACCCCTTCGAAAACCAATCAATTTTGGACGTTCGCAATTGACACATTTCGAAAACAAGCTGAAGGTTAATTCAGAAAATTATTACTGTAACGAGATTAGTAGCATTAACCACCTTCAAACTTTTGGACAATTTAATTAAACTCAATTCAAAGTAATTGACCAGAATAAAACCGTTTCGCTTTGCAAGGACGACCAAATAAAAGTTTTGTTCGCTTTATTAAATAAATTCACATTTTCTTCAGACCACAATCAAAAAAGAACTTCATTTACTACAGATTAACATGAAATTTTGTTGATTGTTTTCAGAAAATATTACTCGCAAGCTTTATATCTACATTTATGGATTATTATACATTTTATGGTAGAAGGTCAACCTGATTTATTACAGTAGTACGATTTTTTACAAATTCTGTGAATTTTATTCGTATATGTGTCTATTTTATATAACTTAATAACCAAGGTCATAAATAATTTACATAATCCAAAAAGTTGCTCATTAAATTCAAAGGGAGAAAATAAACCAAAATGTGTTGACGAAATGAATTAAAAATTATCTTATTCTGCATAATATCTAAATTAAATAACTTTTTCTTCACTAGACTGATTGGGTATTAAATTTATATTTTGACCCACTATCGTCATTTTGTACAAAATGATGAAGGATTGAAGGCATACATCTAGATTCGAGAAAATTATTTTACCTACTTTTTTACCTGGATGTACCTATACAAATGTCATTTATCTGTAACATAGACATGGCATAATCTACGATCCACGGTATAAACATATTTTATAGAATATTAGAATATTTTTTAAATTTATTTTTATCAATCTGACTTTGGATTTAACTATCTCGTACTATTTTTTTTACACGTAGAGGTATATCGACAAGCAGACAAAAATACAATCCCATAAGACCAAGTTTTCGATCACTCGATATATAATCCTAATCCTTAAAATTTATTTTAAAAAATAATAANAAATATCTATTTCTACTAATTTAATAATTTAATAGTTAGGTACACATACGAGACGGGGAAGTCCCGGAGGACTATAAACGTACACACAGGATTCGTAGATGTTGAAAAAGCGTTTGAGAGGTTTAATAGGGAAAAATATTAAATATACTTAAAAATGCAGGGATAAAATTCAGAAATAGAAGAATGATATTAACTATTTGTGAACAGTAATCTAATCTAGGTCTACTTCTACTCCTCTTAACTCCTGTTTCTGCTTCTAATACGTCTCTGGTTAGCCCTTCATGCCTGAGAAGGCGTCCTACCAACTTATCTCGCCTATTCCTTATTGACTTCCCTAGAATCCTTTGTTCTCCTATTCTTTCTAATACCTCTTCATTTCTAACCTATTCTATCCACGATATCATCTTCGTTCGCCTCTAACACCACATTTCGAACACTTCTAACCTTTTCTTTTCCGCCGCGCCCACCGTCCATGTTTCTCACCCGTACAGCGCCGCGCTCCAGACATACACCATTCACAATTTTTTTCTTGTTTTTTATTAAAAGCGACTCGCTATCCTCTGGTTTATATCAGTATTATTCCTTCCATCCTGACTTATCTGACTTCCTATAGATATCGAAAATCAGCCACTTGTTTTAATTTTTCGTCTCCTATCTTTATATTCGCTTTTTCCCTACATTTTCTTCTCTTGCATACCAGTATTTTTGTATTACTTTTATTTATTTTCATACAATACTGTTTTGTCAATACCGCTTCTGTATTATTTAAGGCCATCTTTAACTGCTTCCTAAATGCTAATACTGCAATGTCATCTGCAAATCTAAACATACTAATCTGTTGCCCCTTCTATATCTGTCTTTAATGATGTTGATCGCGTCTTCGATGTACAGATTATTAAAAAGTTTCAAGTGAAATTAATTCAATCCTTAGTCGTTAGTTAAAACTAAATACGTACCGAAAGTCGATTATGTATATGTATAAGTATTAGTATCTACTATTTGATCGCTTTAAAAAACAGAATATAGGTAGTCTTTTTATGATGAAGTCAGTTACATCTGTAGTTCCCCGAATCGTTGGAAAATGAACGCCTACAACCGTTGTTCTCGTCCCACATATATGCAAAACTAAAACTAAAATTGCCTTTTCACTATTATGCGAATTAAACTATCATTTTGAGCCATCTACCAAATTGCTCTACAGAGAATTACATTTTACTAACATCAAATATCCACGATATACTACTATCTACGTATGTTCACCAAGTCCAAATAAAAACCAAAACACTAATTTATTATTCCTTCCAATTTTTTTTAAAAAAGCTTATTATTTTTCAATTTAATTTATTTGCGTGAAAAATTTATAAAACAATGAAAAACTGTAGTTAGAACTGTTACTTTTAATTGTATCAAATTACTAACAAACAAGAAATGTGAAAGTTCTTTAGGGCTTACACTAGTTATAATACCTTCACATGATATTGTATATGTATAAAGTTTGTTTTCTTTGTAATTTTACATATCAATATCACTTAGCATATTGTTGGTGGTAACAAAGGTTAATAGAGCTTAACATGAATTTAACCTATTCACATATCGTCCTTGAGAAGCGGTCTATGTGTGGCCTTGACCGTGAATCGGCCTTTATTTATTAATCAAGGGTACACAATCCTATTAGATTTTTCGCGGTAAACCCCTTCGAAAACCAATCAATTTTGGACGTTCGCAATTGACACATTTCGAAAACAAGCTGAAGGTTAATTCAGAAAATTATTACTGTAACGAGAT